CGGGTGCAACCGCAACAAACAAAAAAACAAAAACATGAACAAGAAAACATCTTAAAGTGACTATGTGCAAACAGAAAATCCAAGAAAAGACAGCAACATATTGCAGAAAAAACACCGTACACCAACACTGTGTGCAAAAATCCCAGTGGGATGCAAGTCAAACAACAACAACAACCACCACAAGACAACTTAGATTAAGGCCATCAGTCTAACTCTGTACTACAACAAACAAACATGGCCAAACCGAAAAACTGCCTGGTGGCAGTCAGCTCGCAATCGAATGTTTACGAGCTCAAATCTTGGTTGGGGATTGACTCAACCCATCATCTCTCTGTGGTCGCTAAAGTGACTACAAATTTGTTGGGGGGGGGGGGGGTGATTCAACAGTGACTGCCATCGCAGTCCGTTATATTTTTTTTTTGGGAGTTAATTTCATGAAATCGATTCTGACAAATGGGGGCTGGGGAGGTGGCAGAAAAGTTGGCGCATTGCTGCCATGGACCCAGTCACCTGATTGCGGTTCTCAGCCATGGGTAGCTAACATGAGTGGTGAGCGACATCTGAACTGTCTATATGATAGAGGTTTTTTGGTTAGATCGCGTAAATATATAAATGTGCCGTTAAAACCCGCCACCACCCGACGCAACCAACTAGTAAGGGTTGTCACGTAAACCCGAACGTGGCAATTCGTCACTAGTACAGCACACCGGTGTGTTGGAGAGCCAAGCCACAACATTTACAATGTGAGCACGATGCTTCGCCAGTAATTACAACTAGCTTCATCAGGCGACAGCCAGATTTGTGCTGTACGAGTGACGAATTGGCACGTTCTGTTTACGTGACAACCATTACTCGTTGGCTGTGTCGGGTGGTGGCGGGTTTTAACGACACATTTATATATTTACGCGCTCTAACCCAAAAACCTCTATTATGGATATTGGTCACGAAAGCCTACTATGTGTTAAACTGAACTCTCTCTGTTCACCCCTTCACCAACCAGCAGCAGCGGTCAGCGTGGTGAATGTATTGATTTCCTTTAATGTCATGTTATTCTGGACAACATATGCATATTTTGTCAATTCTGGGGGGATTGTTGGTTGTAAAGTAAAAAAAACACAGACGTGGGTCTGTTTTCACCTAGAAAATATTGGTGCCGAAGGCTGATAGGTTGACGGACTACAATGGTATTTTATTTATTATCTCATGGGGAAACAGACCCCTTCGCGTATATTTTACAATCCATTCTGGAATTGCTCAAAAAAATCACTCAACATACATACTGGTGCGTTAATTTTATACGTAGGCTTTCACGATCAATATTATAAGTCATAATACTATTTTTGGGGTTAGGTCTGAGCTCCTATTAGCAACCTGACGATGCTGGATGTAATCGCCAGCAGACCGTCCGTGCCCCCATGTACATGTTGTGAGATCTGCTCTCCAACAATAACACCGGTGGTGTTGCTGAAGCAGTCAAACATTTGTCCACGTTTCGATTTGCGTGGCACTTTTATTCAATTGCCATGTCAGGTGGAGGAGGGTTCAGGACACATTTTTGTACGTGACCTACCCCAAAGAACAAAAACATTTATATGAGATATAGATACGCCATCTTGGTTCTTTCGGTAAAGTCACGTAGAAGGGAAGTAATAAAATAATTATTTTATTTTATTATGTTTTATTTTTATTATTTTATTACTTCCCTTCTACGTGACTTTACCGAAAGAACCAAGAAAATGAATCCCTGCAGTCACGAAAGCTTTAAATCGAAATATAGATACACGTCATCATTTTCTATGCAAGGTGATTGTGTTGTTTGCCTTGTGTGGAACCTGCCTTTTTGTGTCATATGGTTCATGTTTTAATATCCAATCGCCCAAAGAATGCGTTACATACACTCAGGGGTATGTCCTCACCACGCTGTCTTAAATACATTTCAAAGCACTATCAACACATATCTTTGTTCATCCAAAATAATAATTAAAAAAACATCTCACTTTCCCGAATCTCAGGAGTACATCAAATTTACGTAGGAACTTTTGGTAAGTTTTTATAACCGTTGACAATCGTGATAGATTATAATCTATCACATCTATAACTATAGATGTAGGTACTTGTGGTTGTGGATTTGCTTTTAAAGCAGGCTCCTTCTCGATGTTTGAGCTACGTGACCTCTTACGACCCGGAGTGACGGCCACAGTTAACGCTTTCCAAGCGTGTTGAATGCACTGTGATCTTCATTCACGGATGTCAAAACAATCCCATTAAACTCCTCGCAATCCTCTAAAGAACGCGGGCGGCATCGCCATGCTTCTACGTACGGTACTGTCAACGTTTGACTAGCTTAGCATCGGTAAGCGTTATACCCGCATCGCACAATATTTAAGAAATGCGATCCTCACATATTCGATTTCCCAGAGCACACGACACTTTACAGCGACTATACAGCAGCAGCAATGATGGCATAATGACTTTAAGCCCTCACCAAACCTCCTACGCATTTCACAAGTAGTACTAATCGCATATCTGCATTTCCCATAAATATGCTAAATTCATCTTGATATGCAAATTATTTTGTCAAGGCGCTCTTCGCCCCTCCATCCCAGCTTAAATAGACGCTCCAAGCCTGGGGTGTGTCATTCAGACTCTGTCTTCTCGACAGACCTATTCTCCACCTGAGGACGGCTACTTGCGTTGTGGCCGAAACGTCGTGAGAATTATTTTATTGTTTTATTTTATTATTTTATTCTTTCCATTCTACGTTACTTTACCGAAAGAACCAAGAAGATGAATCCCTGCAGTCACGAAAGCTTTAAATCGAAAAATGATAATGTTTTTAACCTGAAAATCCCCACTGAGTATCAAGACTTTGTCACGAGATTTCCTCATTGGGTCGCTTGTCCAATTCCTTCTAAGGAGTGTTTTATATAAGATTACGAATTACATCTTATTTCATCTATATTCTTTCAGGTTAGTGCCTTTTATCCGTGACAATCCTTCATGTTGTATTAAACATTTCATCGCAGGGTAACACAGGGCACAACCTTTTTGATGTAACATGCTCCTGTAATAATTATAAGTGGTATATCTAATTATAATGCCTTTGTTAAATGGGGGAAAGGTGCAGCCTTGCAAGTGCTTGCTCAAGCCACTGCTGGTGGAAGGCCCTCCACTAGAGGGAGTGCCAGAGAGAGGACCCAATAAGTGGTTTATCCTATCTTACCACGCTGACCAGACAGAACAGGTGGGAATACCCACACTTTACCCCACCCACTCACTGCGGCTGTATTCATTCATAACACCGAGTTATGATCCATTTAGCACATTTAAATAAAAATGTCACTTTCACCCACGCAGAGTGTTTCAATAGACTTGGTTGGCCTTGGGAGTTAATTGAACTCCCATTATAAAGATACCTATTGAAACTAGAAAAGGATAAATACTAAAGGAGTGACCCTTTCTCGTGTGCACTGAAACACAGAGGGAGGATAACAAAAAACACCTGTAAGAAAAGAATCTCCAGTTCACACCCTCAAAGGAATTTGAGTCCATTATGTGTGTGTGTGAAAAGACAGCAGATAAATATTTAATGTCAGGAATTGTGCGAGGATGGTAAGACCGTGTAAGAACGTGAACCCAGAAAGCCTCCGAAACTAAACTATAGTTTTACATATGTTACATATTAACATAAGTTAATATGTAAAAGTTTGAACTAATCTCGCGAGGAATAACAAAAAAAGATGTATAATGCTGTACGTTAACTTGTTTTGCTGAGCTATGGAAACAAGGCCACGTGTTTTTAAACAAAACAGTGTCTGAGTAACAGCTGGCAGAAATAACAAAACACGCGGAGTGGTACTGAATAACATTACTTACTGAAGCACTTATGTTCAAATAAACATGCATACTAAATACATTATGTAGACAGTACGTCCCATTAATAGCAAAGGGTGTTCCAAAATATTACAGGAAACAACTGCGTTAAATTATAAACAATTAAGATAATGCAGTTTCAGGGTGTGTGTGTGTGTGATGTGCATCTGGTACATGTGGTTTCTGTTTGTGGAGGGTGTGTGTGGTGCTGGCAACCAGCCACACATACCTCACACAGACAACAGCTAACAATATTAAAGCGGCAATGTTCACGTAACTTGAGCTTCAGTAAACTGAACATGCATGATGATACAAAACAACATTTAAACTAAAACTAAATAAAATTTAATTGTACTAGGTAAGGCCCATTGAGCTAAATAGTTATTTTTCAGAAGCGACCTGGCCACAAATGATAGGTCAACGAAGTGGCTTATCGCGTGGACATTTATATCAGCCCAAAAAAACTCTCAACGCAAATGTGGACAGAAAAACCGGAGAACCTGGAGAAAAATCCACGTGACCACAGGAGAGAGAGAACATGCAAACTCCCAAACATTTAGTCAAGAGCTACCATTTGTTACCATTAAGAGTTAAGTAGCCTCATTTGGCTGGACCGCTATTGCTCTAACACCCGACCATATATCAGCGGCAGGCCCGATGCGATCCCGGCATATTCAACAGGCGCGTGGGGGGGGGTGGTGGCATGGACACGCGCTACAGCAACAACAAATAAGTATAACCCGTAAAAACAAAGTTTTTCACTATAAATCCTTTATATGCGTGGCGGCTAGAGTCCTCTCGTCCTCTGGCTTGAGATGGCTGCCACCTATGGGTCAGATGATTGTGTGCCAGTATTAAGCAATTGGTAATTAAATATTTAATTTGTTTTCCCTAAACAGTGTAAAATTTTGGAGAAAAATTTTTTGCACGAACATTAATTGTCTCGCACAACGAGTCTGTGTGCAAAATGTCAGCTCGATTGGATCACTGGAAGTGGGTTAAAAAACGACCGAAAGATTTGCACGGTCGTAAGCAAGCAAGCACGCAAGCAAGCAAGCGAACTTAATATAAAGGATTGAAAAACCACGAGACCCAAAACGAGAAGGCCACCGAGTATCCCAACCCACCGGTACAGCACATCAGAGACGCCAGGCTACCGCCGCCGGTCAGATCAGCCGCCCGCCACTCTCTGTTGTAGAGCGAGGAGGATGAGGATGAGACGGAGGAGGGGGAAGCCACGGACAGTCTCTCGGGCGTTTGCGACACCACCACGAAGCTGTCGGCCGTGGCGCCCCTAAAAACGGCGTCTTCGAACACGTTGTTTTCCAGAAATCCCGGGGAGTTGCTGAACGCCATTTGTCCGGCAGTCCTCCGGGCAGGATGCGGCTTCTTTTTAGGATTCTACTCGGGCGGGTTAGGGGGCTGTGATGCTGCTGCCGTGCTGCCGACTTGGGCTCACTGCCAAGGGCACTCACTCACTCTCTCTCTTGGCCACGATTGGGTCTCGTTGTTCTGCTGCTGCAGAATATCTTTATAGGCGTTTTCCTTTTTTTTCACTCTCTCTCTCTCTCCCACTCTGCGTACCCCCACCCTTTCCGCCAAGGAAACCTCGACCTCCCCAACCCTCTCTCCTCTCATTCTCACTCTTACTAGGGGTGGACTGGCCACACCTACCTGGGGCCGGCCCTTGAAGCAAAAAACAAGTCGAAAAATTCAAACAATTGGTGCCCTGGGATCAGTGTGCAGTCATTTTGATTGATGGCAAAGGCTAACACGTTTCGGTGGACAGTGTATGACACAGAAACGTACGCTGGACAGAACGAGAATAAGTGGATCTTCTTTTTCTGAGCAAGGAAAATAAACAACAGGATGAGTGTTGAAGGTGGGGCAAAAAAATAAAGATTTCCTTTGAATTTGATGTTCATGTCTCTACATTGCCTTCCTGTCCACTTTTAGAATAACATGCAGCAAAATGTGCAGTGCCAGACAAAAGCACATTTTATTTTAACACAAACTAAGGGGAGCATCAACGCAGAGCTTTTGAGACAAATAAGTTGGCCGGCGTGAAACTGAACCTCCTCAAAGCGAACACGCAGCGTGAAATTTGCAATAACATTCTTTATAGCATTTGCCACTGAGGGTATAGAACGAAAAAAAGATGTGATACTCCGTTGGCAACGGTGAAAAAAAATACTCTCACCAAAATTGTCAACACCGCCCGAAGGATCATTGCCGAAAACATCGCTCATTGTGTAGTTTAGCATTTCAGCGCAGCGGTGTGACTCACGAACGCATTGAGTTTTTGTTACGTGGACATTCGTTTAACCGTATGGATGCAGAAAGCATACGAGTAGGTGTCTATGTATTCACAGAACGTACGGAAATGAGAGCATATACCTCGTTGCACATGGGAGATGATAATATAGTCAGAGCAGCCAAACCTTGAGAGATGTTTACTTCACGTAATAAGGTCAACAGGTAGACAAAACTTACTTAAACCTGATTTGAAGCTTTCGTGACTGCAGGAATTACTCTTTGGTTCTTTCGGTAAAGTCACGTAGAAAGAAAATAAATTAAATAATAGAGTACGACGTTTCGATTGCAACACAAGCAACCGTCATCAGATAGAGGGCCTCGACACAGAGGCATTGGGTCTCTGTGTGTCTATGTTGTGTCTCTCTCTCTGTGTGTCTATGTTGTGTGTCTCTCTCTGTGTCTGTGTGTGTCTCTCTCTGCTTGTGTGTCTGTCTGTGTGTCTATGTTGTGTGTCTCTCTCTGTGTGTCTATGTTGTGTGTCTCTGTGTTGTCTCTCTCTGTGTGTATGTGTGTGTCTCTCTGCTTGTGTCTATCTCTCTCTGTGTCTATGTTGTGTGTCTCTCTCTGTGTGTCTATGTTGTGTGTCTCTCTCTGTGTGTCTCTGTGTCTCCGTGTCTGTGTTTTGTCTCTCTCTCAAATGTAGTTCTACCTGATGACAATTGCTTGTGTTGCAATCGAAACGTCGTACTCCATTATTTAATTTATTTTCTTTCTATGTGACTTTACCGAAAGAACCAAAGAGTGACTATTTAAACCTATTTTTTTATTTTACCAAGTAAGGCCCACCGAGCTACGTAGCTATGTTTCATAAGCGACATATCCACAAATGATAGTCGAATTAAGTGGCGTATCATGTGGACATTTATAGCAGCCGAGCACTCTAAACGTGTGTTTCTAAATGTGGAGGGGAAAGCCGGAGGACCTGGATAAAAATCCACGCGATCATGGGGAGAGAGACACGCAAACTCGAAATATACAGCAGCAGGCGTCAGGGTCGGCATCGAACCCACGACCTCCTGTATACCAGGCAAGGGAGTTAACATTTCTCCACAGTAACGCCCCAAGAAGACCATCATAACATCCTATCGAGAGGGTGGTAAGCTATGCAGTGTAGACCCATCTGCATGTCAGAGGCACTGGTATTTATTCAAATTTCAAAACGAACTTTGGACTTTTGGTTCATCTTTGCCCCGCGAGCGCAACATATTTGCATCACGTGGTATCCCTTTGCATAATGTAATACGGTAAGGCCTCGACATCCGCGAGGATTCGGTTCTTAAATATCTGCGCGAAAGTAGAATTCGCGAATGTAGATACTTCGTTTAGATTTGGGGAAAAAAAAGGGGCGGTTGGGTTCCTGTGTTTTGACTAAGTATACGGGAGAATGTGAACACATTCCTGCGGAGGGAGCTGGTAGGAACGTTGGGTTGCTCGGTCAATGGCCAGGGTCAACGGCGGCGTGGTGTATTCCGCAAATATGCCCGACTGTGAGGGCGGGCACAAGCCGGCGTGAGTAGGTTAAACGTTTGAGTTTTATAAGGGCACCACGGGGTGACCAGCCCCTCCCCACCCAGCCCCACCCAGCCCCACCCCTCCCACCCCCCACCCAGCCCCACCCAGCCCCTCCCCACCCAGCCCCTCCCCACCGTCCCAACCCAGCCCCTCCCCTCTCCACCCAGCCCCACCCCTCCTATTTTTTTTATGCACGACGGACGAACACAATAATCCCCTGTGGGCTGGTGTAACCAGGAGGTTCCTACCAGTACAATCTTTCATAACATTCATCCTGTCCTGTACACATAAATAACATCCATATGCGTACTTAAAATTGTACAATACAAATAGATAACAACACAAATAATACTATAAATTTGAATAAAGGCAATACAAAAAAATGCCGTGCATTTGGAAGTTTTATTTACACTGAATGATGTGATGATGACGTTCAACAGACGTACTGTCACCACGAGCAAGTCTATCCAACAACTCCACTTTCATGAGCTAAACCCATCACTTTTACTCTCGATCTCACTTCCTCCATCGAAGTGGAAAAAAAAAACCGCTCCCGGCCTGCACAAGAAGCCTTCCACCCACGAGGCCGTGTCTCCAAATCGCGTAAAGTCAAAGGAAAGTGAGCCTGGTCTACGAATGTAACATCGCAGCATGAATGAACTTCGCGAAAGAAAAATTCCGCGAATGAAGATGTTTTACCGTAATCCTTTGAATAATGTCACATCCATTTGTATAATGTGATGTGTGTGCTCTGCAGCCATTACAACGATGGCATTTATTTCACAGCCTACCAAAGCAGGAGCAATAAATGGTCGTCTCTTATTAGTAATTCACATTTACCTCTCTTTGCTATGGTTAATACATCGACCCTATTACCCATGACTCCTATAATTCACAGAAGTAGTATGGTCCCGCGGAAAAACAACTTAAATTACCAGGGCCCTATTCCTTCTATTGTCCAGCATTACCCACGGATAAATGGAGCCAAATCACAGATAGGTCCGTGGATAATAGGATGCACAAAATTGGATAAGGGGGGGGGGGGGGTTCTCCTGTATTTCACATTTGTTGCTTGGTAGCAAACAACCGACTCGCAACAACTCTCGGTCGGAATCAACAACAACTCAGAGAGTGCTAGGGGGCACTGTTTGAGACAATGCATCAAACCAAGGACAGGTAAATGCATTTCTTGCACGGTGGATTCCACTCGATGCAGTGCGAGGATGCCCCTCCCTGGCAAGCGTTTATAACAACAACAAAAAGGAGGAGATTTTTTCTGATTTATAAATATTTACAGGGATGCTGCCGTGGAGTTGATGGTCACCGCACTGGGCGAGAAATCCACAGGTTGATCTCCCATCAAGGCAGTTGAAGCAAGGCCAATCTCAATGTGCCTTTATCCACCCAGAAATAAACATCGTTCATCGATCGGCAGGTGACTCGCGGTGAGGTCAAATGCTGCCTGGCCAGTGTGGAATAGAAGGCCAAATATTTTTACTTAAAACTTTCGTGACTGCAGGAATTCATATTCTCGGTTCTTTCGGTAAAGTCACATACATAGAAAATTTAAAATTGTTTATCTCTTCCTGATGAAGACTGCTTGTGTTGCGATCGAAACGTCGTGGGTTTTTTGCTTTTATTTTCATATAATTTTAATTTAATTTTATTTTTATTGTCTATCTTCGTGACTTTACCGAAAGAACCAAGAATATGAAGACCAAATATCCTCAGGTGTGTCTCTCTAGTGCTGCCCCTAGTGGGGGGAGGGGGGGTGCCACCTGTTGTGGTGTGAGCAAGAAATCGCAGGGCTGAACCATTACCGATGAAGGTCATTCAGCTCACTGGACACTGACACAGTAACTTGTTCACAATGGCCTCCCATCGCAAAACCCGTGCTGTGTGATCATTCGCAAAGAGACCCAAGAAGTCCCACTCGTTTTAAAGTGGCATCCAACGGCACAGTCAAGGTGGACAGGAGGTCGGGAACACAGGACCCAAAAGGCAAGCACTCTGACCACTGGGTCACCCAGATTTGGCTTTTATTTTCACGATGCAAACGGCAGGGTGGACCCTCACCTGTTGGTCTGATGTCATCTACAAATACACGGGGGAGGTTATATTGTCCGTAAAATAAACAGAGCTAAACAGGGTCACGTTTAATACGCAACACCCAAGTCGTATTTTGAGTGCGGGATTTTAATGGACTTGAATTGGATGCCCCCTCCACAGAAGTGATTATCTGAGCCGGAGATGATAGCGACAATGAAAACAAAACTACGTGAGAAAACAACAAAAATGCGCGGATAATGCCTCCCGTGTAAGTGTCCTGTCAGTACAAGAATGCGACAGCTGTAGGCACCGATAAATTAAGTCACTTGTAAACATGCCCTCTGTCACGTAGAGCCTGTATGGAGCTTCCAGAGAAACAAAGGCTGTGCTATCCATTAAGGGGACGGACAAGAATGTTCGCAAGTGACACTAATATAATGAATGTATTTTCATCTGTAGGGTGATTTAAGAGTTTTGCATAGTGGTGTAATGCAGCGTATGGTCATTGATCTTTGTAAATACTTTCATCATATTACTACTGAAGATGTGGTTACCAATACATTAATGACATTTTATATGAAGGAATTTGATACGTTGTTACTTTATTGACTTGCATAATTATTTTAA